CGTTACGAGACTTTACGAAGAGTATCTTACGGAACAATGAACACGGCGTTTACGTTCCCTATCTATATGTTCATTTTGCGCTCTTCAGAGCATCGAATTGTTTTTTTCATTACAGGGAATGAAATAAACGATAATTTTACAAGTCAAAGAACACCTCGTCATTTAGTCATCTGATATGTGTATATTTCGTGTTTGTAATCACCATTAAACCCATAGAAAGGTAGCCTTGCTGGAAGAATTTACGTTAGATCTCGTCACGTTAACTTCCACTAAAAAAACGCTTGTGACAGTACTGTGTACACCGAAGAGAGCGTTTTGGAATCATTCATTGGAGATTTATAGTACAGATAATATACTACTTATAGTATGTATAGTATATTCAATAGAAGCAAACTCTCTATTTTTAATTAGCCAAATAATCAACAATGTAATAATGTGTAATGTTGAATAATTCTTCGGATCTAGTTGCAAGACGTACTAGTCCTACAGTCGAAGCTCGGGTTCAGCGCAGCGGGCTGACAGTGTCCTAATATGAAGATCCCCGGCAAGACTGATATAACATTTACAATTTAAATCATTGGATGCCATTTTAATCCTAGTCCTTTTTATGTTCCCTTTTATAGTTCCTGTTCATTTCGATTAATTATTCGATTATCAAGAAAACAAAATCGTACGATAAAATGGTTAATTATGAGGTTGAGCCATAGTTGATTTAAAAGCAATATACCATACGTAAGATAATGCCTATTGCTTACTAGACTAGGCCATGCAAAGGAAAGTTTACTAAAAGAAAAATAAATTACAGAAACGTTTCATGTTAATTTCGACGAAGTAAGCGCGTGGCTAGCGATCTACGAGCGGCCTAATTCGAAACAAGGCTTGAGTCCCAACGGGCTTTTTATGATTATTATCTTGCTTAAGAAGAACACGTACGGGCCGAAAAAGTTTCCTAGCCTTGTATTAGTAGGTTTTTTTGCCATGGCAAATAAGAGGTTTCACTTCTAAGACAATCCTTTTACTAGTTGTTTCCGCAACAATAAAATGAAGCGCTCATTATCATTCTGTCGTTCGTTGAATCGTGCATGATACCCATCTTTGTGTCCCAGAAATCTTGTTTTTCCCTAACTTTTTGATTCTATTATTAACTGATATGAAGCTCATGAATCACATCAACCGATCGTAAACCCCTAACAGCATCAGCCAGCAATGAGCGTATATCGAAAACAAAATGAAAATAGTTACTATTCTTTTCGAGCTTTTAGCATCATATATATCATAACTATCATATATATAATATGCTTGATCTCTTCCGCAAGTATGTTCTTTCGTGGCTGTTGTATTTGCAATTCACGCAAAAGCTTCCCATGTGACTGTGTGTCAGTCAAAGTTCCACCTTAATGGATCGTTTCCCGCCTCTTTCCCTACTTCAATCGACTAATGAAAAAGAGGCGGACTAGACATTCCCAGCTGGCTGTCTATCTCCAGTCAAGTTCTGACATGGTCGAACCCTGTTCAACTCTATTCTAATCAGAACGACAGAAACGAAGGGGAGTGTTAGAGAGCTTCCTGGATTGTACCTTGTAAACTCCCCCTTCCTCTGCTATTGGGTCGGCAAACTACGTGGCGTTGTTAATCAGTTGAACGCTACCAAGTTGATTATAAAAAAAATACAAAAAAAAAGCGCGACAAGTTTGAAAAAAAGGATTTTTTTTTCGCTTTTGTGATTCGAATATGATTTCGCGTGTATCAAGCTGAGGAATATTGTTTGAATATTAGTATATTCAAGTAAGGTATGCATTTAGCTTATCAGCGCTAAGTGAACCGATGGAAACCGGCAAATTTTGGGCTGCTGGGGTGTTAACACCAAGCAGATTTCCTTTAGTATAATTCTTTAGGTATTAAACGGAAACTTTTTAAAAAGTTTCCGAAGCTAATTGGGTCAACCTAAAATGCTAACTAGCCCTTTTACGCTTTCGTGGCGTTGTCTAAACCGTAACATAATTGGCTATGCATGTAGAAGGACGCAGGATACATGGACGACGAGTAGCTTTATTGTTAAACCTACGCACGCGTATGGTACAAGAACCATATTATATGGATGATTTGAAGCCGCGTTGCGTATTTAAAGTGTTAATGTTTCTGTATATTAAAATGCTATAGGGGCTTTAAGTCAAAAATACTTATGGTATAAAGTTCCGCTCAAAGATCAACTGAGGAAGATTCTTTGAAAAGATAATGCGAATTTTATCAGCTAAATCATCTTAGCAACCTTAAAATGGAAGCCTTTGGTAAATCTGCGTATGTTGGTACAGTCGTCCGGTGGTTCTATCAATAATTTACAGGACGTCCTGTTGCAAGTTGTAACCCAAAAATATTGTGTACTAGTATACATCTTACGAGCGCCAGACAAACCGGCCAGCAGCTAAAGTCAGACATGAAGCAATAGTATTTGGACAAATACTAGACATGCTACGATATGATATGCTAGACCGTAGTACTAGAAGGCTATCCTAATGTTTATGAAACTCATTGATGGAATAGTGCACTGATTTACCTGAATACGAACGCTGTGCCTCTATGCCATCGGTTATTACAAAAAGAAAGGGAACACAAAAGTAAATGATAATTGATAACATAAGTTTGTCATTATTTATTTAATTTTACAGGCGTCATGAAGACATCAGCAAAACGACAGTGAATACTTCAAACCTGCCTTCGATTTAGGGAGCACTTCAAAGCTGACGCTACGCTCTCAGTGTGTGTTTCTTTTTTCAATCTCTTTGTACTACACTTACTCCTTTGTTCGCTTCTTACATATCTTCATTTCTGAATCTGAAATCTAATTCAGTTCCATGTTATCCCCACGCCGCACGCTTCGTCGCGAGCTCCCATTCGGGTATATATTCGTACTAATCTGTTCGTTGTCGTCACGCATACTCCGTAACACGCGCTGTCCCAAAACGGTTATACGATCAGCTCAGGGTGTTTTCACGCAGTCTCAAACTTGGAACGTTACACATGAAATATTAGAAAAATTTCAGAGTCTCGCTAGTCGATATGTGGTCACCCCGCCGCTGTGTGGAGGAAGACAGTTTCAGATTGCACTTAACATAAATCAACTTATTCAGTAACTGATAAGTGCAAAGGACCGACTACGTCAAGGCTAGCTAGTGTCAAGGCTACCATCGGAACAGGACCGTCATTGTTTGATTAAGGACCCACAAGATACATTGCTCTGCTTTCTGTTGTCAAGCATTTTTCATTGAGGTTAGGACCACATTTCGATAGTGTTGCCTAACGTTAAGAAAAGTCAACAGGTATGGTGATCTGAGGTCGCCATTCGGTGCGAGATAAAGGTGCAGAATATTAAATTGTATTTCTCAACTGTGTTAATTCAATCAATTGTTTTTCGTACAATTATTGATTACCTCAAGTTTCTGGCCATCGTTCGTCGTGCGCAGCCGATTCGATCTGGCAGCGCCTGATATATTGCCTCATAGCTTCATTATGATCGAGGAACGATTTGCTTGATCTCTTCGCCACCACTTGGCCGTATAGTTATCCGCTTATTTAGGTGACAGGTAATTAATCGGCAAGGGTACACCAGACAATCAGCGAACAGCTTTTCGACGCCATGGGTCACGGACAGCGTAACGGCGAAGACCAGAAAGATGGTGGCAGACCTTAGCCGAATGAACACAACATCGAAGACCCCTAGAGGTATAAGAGGCGCCGTGACCAGTGCTAATGTATCTAACCGCTAACACACTTGGGACAGCCACGTTGAAGATGACAACATTTCATGTATTCTTAGCCTATGTTCGATCAACTTGTATGTATGTTACACATGCAATAATGATAAAACTAGTTAAAATACGGCATGCTATATCGTAGTATGATTACTATCGCAAATAATAACATGTGTGAACGAGACAGTATAGCGTAGACGTCGCGTACCGTTGATGATATGATCATCCCTTTGGCCTTTAGGAAATGATGAAGAGTACATCGGGCTATAAAACAACATTGTCTTCCAAGTGCCTAGTAGACTGTATGGTTTACAAAACAACTGACTCGTCTACTATCATTTCGTCGAAATGTTAACAACTCGTTCCTTGGTATCGTTCGGGGACAGGCCATTAGTTATCGATATTAAAGCCCCTGCGTGTTCTCTAAGGGGTTCTTCGATGCGATCCAAGAATCACAGACTAAATCGAATAGATATAAATGACAGACAGCGCGCGTTCACATTGTTACAATATTTCATTCATATAGAAGTATAGATGGCTTGACCAACAACTGGCAGCGACTACACTCGCGGTGATCTACTTCTTCCATGTTTATATGTCTTATATAAGGAATAATGAAATATAGTATGTATGTACACAGTATATACTGGGGCAATGACGTGTCCTACGGGTGTATATATAGTCTTATAGTTATGCGTTATTGTGTTGCGTTGCACACAAACAGACGGCAATCGATCGTATGCGTACGCTTATTGGTTTTAGTGGATTTCGCGCGTGCTCTCTTCTCTCTAATCCAAGCCAGCTATTGCATATATAAAAGGCAGACGTGAAAGTAAAAACTAGGTAATTTCTAGAGAAGGGAATAAATAGAATGCCGGACATTCGTCTTCTTAACTGATAGATAGAATTCGTTTTCGGTTTCAGTTAATTCGTTTACACCCGCTCATATTGTTAAGGTCTTCGACGTCGTCGTCGTCGGTTGGGTTGAGCTCCGTTTCGAAATCGTCCGGCTTTTAGTTAGGCAACAAAATATCCACCTCAGATGTACCATCTATTATTATTATATAATAAGTAGAAAGTTATATGTACAGAAGTAGTTGTGGCATTAAGTAGACCGTGTCATCGAAACGTACAGTTATATAT